ATAGAAACCACACTCATAATCAAACTAATAATCAAACCACACTCATAATCAAAGCATAATTTATTTCTACTCCTTTGGACATACGACCTACCTAGATGATTTTAACACTTAGGTCTCACCATTTAAAAATTGGATACCCTCTATTCAATCTCAAGAAATAAATTTTTTAAGTGGTGAAATTAAGAAGTGTTTGTTGAGATTAATCTATGGCTTCAAGAAGCTACATCCCTAAATTTGGGTCCTAAAATAAGTTATAGGGTCTTTCTCGATGGAGCAAATGGACGTTTTACTCCCGCGGAGTATAATATCTTTTGGCATTACAAATAAAGAAAACGATTCGGGATCATGCACTATATAAAGCCGAGGCTTTTAGCTGGGGCTCCTGCGGCTCGAATTAGGGTTTCTGGTCCAGGTTCGCTCTTGCTCTAAACCTTGGTTCTCTTTATTGCACTGTAAACCATTCCCTTCTGTCTTGTTCTTTTGAAAAACCCTAGTTCTTTTGTAGATTTGAACATATCACCTATGATTTTCGTAAGAGAAACCCTGAAAACCTAAGGAGACTTTTGGATGTTGGGGTTTGGTTTCTTTGTTATGTATGTATTTTTGGATGAGAGGCCATCCTTCTCTTCGGAAGGAAATATTTTACGGTTTATTTGAGATGGAAAATCTTGATGTGCATCTTTTTATTTAAGTTTCTTCTGCATATATTCTTTGATTTTAATGTTGCTGGAGAACGTGATTTGTTATATTTGTATTCATGCTGCTATTCTTAAACTAAAAAGGTTTGTTATATTTGTATTCATGCTGCTATTCTTAAACTTAAAGGTTTGAGGTGTTTTAGGGATTTATTTTCATGATTTGTAAGTGTTAAATATGCAAAGGCACGGCCTCATTTTGAAGACTGAAAAATGAATTTGAGAAGGAAATGCCATTTGATTTGATGCTCTAGAATCAACCGATTAGTGATAAAGTTTAGGAGGGAAGATTCTGACAATATATATGAAAAATCAGCACACTGTCTTCGATATGATGCCTAAGAATTGAGCAATGTTGAAAAATGGGAAAAAAATGAAAATGTTATGGAAAGCATTGTAAAATCATATGAAAATGCGTTCCTATAGTGCAGAATTGAATGGTACACATTGAAAACTTGGAAATGTATTTTCATCAAATCTCATTACCTCCTATGACCAACTTTTGCATTTCTTCTAGCTTCATTTGGATAAGTGGGTTAGAGATTTATACAGTTTCTGTGCCTAAATAGTTATTCTTCTGATGCCTAGAAGTCAATACATATTGTTTGGCATCTTATTACAGTGGTTTTGTGCATTTGTAATTTATTTTGCATTGCTCCATTATTGTCACTAACTGTTATTATATTTTTTTCCTCAGTAAAGAAGTTATTATATTTTAATATTAACTTGTTTAAGAAATTAAGAGAGTGGGGTGATGACTATGATTGTTTCCCTATTGGTTTGATTGCCAGAATGATGGCATATGCGATATTAGCTCTATCTGACCACTCTCTCCCATTGTTCAAATTTTGAAAGAAAAATAAAAGAAATACATTTTTTTATGTAATTGATATCAGATGCTTGGTTACTGATTTCAGATGATTGAGTTAATCATATATTAACCTTATGAACAGGTGATAAAACAGGACAATTCTCAGGTATACTGACCAAAATATTTCTATAGGGCAAATTGATTGGTACCAATGAATATATAATGATCACTTTTGAACTTTCTTGTTAACTTAAATAGCAGAGTAATGTGAAATCATAGTTTTATGACTTTCCAGAGCTATATTGGTCTGACTGAGACCAAACTAGAACGCCATGATACGCTGCTACTTTGTACGATGTGTATTTTAGCTTTATTAAATCTGTAGTTATCTTAAAAAATTTAAAAATAAAATAAAATCTGGAGTTATCTTAAAAGGCCAGATGACATTTGATGATTTTCAGTTGTGATTCTTATGGTGGTGCCTATTTTTTGTTGTACGTGGACATGTTTTACAAGATTTTTTATTGGTGGAATTCATTATAATCCCTAAACTCCTAATGCTTAAGGATATCACTGATTATATCATTAAGGGCTTCAGATGATATGCATGCACATTCCAAGGTGCATATGGAAGGTTCCAAGCTATCTTGATAAACATGCTTCTCTTTCCATTTTGTTTTTTTACCTTTTTTTGTCATTAATCATTATCTAGTTCTAAAATTCTTCAAATTGTATATCTTGTAACAATTTCAAAAGGGATGACATATAAAAGATTGAGAAAGGGATGCCAGCTGAAATCTATTGAATTTGGACATACTCTTTAGTCTAATGGTATGATGTACATTGGATTGCATGCTTCCAGGGGTGAAATACCTATAAACTCATACATACGAGGATATGGCTCCTTCTCCACCAAGCACTGGCCTTTTTGTGGGAATAAACAAAGGTCATATAGTGACGAAGAAAGAATTGGCCCCTCGTCCTTCAGATAGAAAGGGGGTAACTTTTTTTTCTATTATTCACATCTTTTTTCCTGTATTGGAACTCAAAAAAACCGGATGTTTTATCACTTTTTTCTTCCCCATTTGTCTTGTTTTGTTCTGCTTTCTTATCAATATGTTTTATTATTCTGTTATTTGTGTGTATTGTAACTGTTTTAATATTATACTTGTATGGGCTTTCTAAGGAGAAAGGTATCCTAGTTGTTCTTCTTAAGGATACCACATATCCTGGGTCTTAGAATTTGAAGGGGCCGTTTCCATCCCTATTGAACTTTTTCTAATGGGCTAATAGACCATATTAACCCTCCCCAAAACTGCTGCTCTTCCATTGCCACTCTATACTCTCTCTACGTTCCTGTCTCCCTCATCTCCATCTACCATCCACCTCTTCTAAACCATTCCCTTGGAACTCCACCATCCAACATTGTGCCACCTCGTCTGCTACCCGAACTCTCTCCCTGTCAACATTACTCTCTAGTTTCCTCACCTCAACTCTCATTCTTCAATTCTCTATCTACCCATCTGCATCCTGGCTTTTCCTTTCTGCTCCACATTCTTGGCTTCTGGTTTTTCTATAGTGATTTGCTACTGCTTCCCACATAGTGTTTAATACTCACCGTGCCATATAATCTCTGCGATAATGGATGAATCTTATCCAAGAAACCGAATACCTAGTGAGTCTTATTCCTATTAAATTTATCCACAAAAACTCCCCAGTGTTACAATTCTGAAAGCCATCTGTGAATATTCATCTCATGTTCTCAACAAGATGGAAACATCTTACATCTTCTCAATAAGATAGAGGGACCCATCTAGGACAAGGAAGTAAATGAATTAAAGACTGGCATCGACACAACCATATAGTACCATATCTGAGAAAGCAGAATAGGCTTTTCCAATCTTCATAGCAATTGATTTTGTAGAAATAATGGCAGAACAAGAGGAGGTTCGAGCTGGTGTTTTATTAAGTTTGGAACTTTGAGTTATTTGTTGGACTCAATGGTTGGAAAGTTCCTAGAGGAAGTGCGGTGTAAGGAGATTGGTATTCAGTGGTGTAAGAACTGTTCAGAAATATGGTTGAAGGAGCCCTGTACAAGAGACTAGTGGCTGAAGGCTGGGGGATTTACTTGAGCACCCTGAAACGGAATAAGAAAACCCTTTTACAATATAGGCAATATGGTCTATTGGTCCTTTTAACAAGTAAACTGGGGATGGAAATTTTCGTGTTTCATAATCTAAAACCGATGATGTTCTATGTCTGAAGAAACACCTTAGATGATTTTCCTCGTAAAAAGCCCTAGTTGTTTTGATATTGTTATTTTGATTCAAATTGATTTTGCTTTGGTTCAACAGAAATCCAGCAAGAGAGCACATTTTGTGAAGAACATTATTAGGGAAGTTGCTGGCTTTGCACCCTATGAAAAGAGGATAACTGAGCTTCTTAAGGTTGGGAAGGACAAGCGTGCATTGAAAGTTGCAAAGAGAAAGCTGGGTACCCACAAAAGAGCAAAGAAGAAGAGAGAAGAGATGGCTGGTGTTCTCCGGAAGATGAGGTGAGTTGCTTGTTTTTTACATTTCATATTTGGATAATTTACTTACACTGTAGATGCACATGCCTTCTAATGTTGTGTGGAACATTGTGAGAGTGTATTATTTTGGTGTTTCTCACTGAGAATATACTTCCATGGTTAATTTACACTAGAGAACAAGAAATTAGTGAAGTTTGTTAGCCAAGAATTATTATGCTGTACAGAGATTTTTTCTTTGTATTTCACGCTAGACATTATCAAAATTTCACATATAATATGCCATTGGTTTAATTTAGTGAGAGAATTTTACTTGGAAATGACCAACCAATGAATGCTGTGTACAACAATTCTTGAGGATTACTTTTGATTTGTGTTTATTTTAATCAAGAGGGTACGTCGGTAACTGTTTCCACAAACCCTCTTCGATCACGAATTTGCCTCCTTTGACTGCAATATTTACATTGTCATTATCACAGTTTAAAAACTGAGTTGATCAAAATATTGGTCTTCTCAAACTGTCCTGTCAGAAGCCCACGATCGATGACTTTGAATTGTGGAATCTGTTCTTCTTGGTATTTGTATCTTATTCTCAGCAACCCAAGTTGAAAACAGCGAAAGTTCTATTATATATAGGTGTATTGAATAATGAAAACAAGGTTTATCCCAGAAGATCTCCTTATCAAGTGATTGACCCTTGACAGTTTTATTTTATATTTTATTTACTATTTTATGTTTAAGGCGTTCTAATGGTCATTAAATAATAAAAATTGAAACATGATTCATATGCCTCTCTCTATCTTTTTCTTTTAGCAAAATATTACATGATATATACTTGGGATTGGTCATTTTTATCAAAGCATATAGTAGACCTTTCTAGAGGGAATATTGTTACACCTCTCTCTACCTTTTTCTTTTACCAAAATATTACATGACATGTACTTTGCCTTGGTCATCTTTATCAAAGCATATAATAGACCTTTGTAGAGGGAAATTTATTTCTTCATTATTGGGTGTTGTAGTATGGCAACTTCTGCTCTAGAGTACTCTTTTAATCAGTTTTGTAGCTTTTGTCCTTTGAACCTGTTTCAAAACATTGATATGTTTTGGCTTGTGGCATGGGCACTTGTAGTATAATCCTCTAATTGTTGGAAAATTGAACAAGTTACTGCAAATAATTTAGTTCATTCATATAAATCAGCTGTGGTTTTATTGATGTGTTCCCTTCCATCCCTGCATCTTATGTTTCTATTAATGGTTTTGGTTACTTTTAAAACAACTTGAACTTCTTTATCCTTGTTTCCTGATGGTGGTCCTAATACACCTTGTAAATTAATGATCTAAGTAATTACTTGTAGAACAGTTAAAAGAATGGAAAAAAACAATGTGTGCACTTGGGCCTTGAAAATAATATCTATCTGGGTGGAGAGTTTGTATGTAATGATGTGGTATCGTTTATCTATACTATATGTAATGAGGTGATAGACTACCCCTCCAAAGGAAGGCTGTCACTATAAGACCACTAAACTAGCAGAGGACTGTTGTGGTAAGGACAGAGGACCTCATTTGAACCCCACTAGCCATAATGGATTCTTGGTATTAGAAAGAATTGAGGGAGATACGCAGTGTGAATGTGCATGTCAAGCTTGTCTGAGTTGTCTCATGGTGAATGTGGAGAATGTTAGGATTAGCACTGCTGAAAAGAAATATCCTATTGTTACTGACAATGTTGTTTATGGGAGATTCACTGGATATGGTGTTTAGCATGTTTAAAAACTCACAAGGGTAACACACTATGGAATAAGGTGCATTGAGCATTATAGAAAGGAGCATTACAAAATATGTGGATGGGTATTAAACTGTAAAGGATGTACATGCCGGACCATATAAAACCCAGAAACAACTCTACTTGCTGTTAATATTATTTGAGAAAAATTTGAAATTTAATGTATAAAAATGTGATCATATTGATGCATATTTCTCTCTACATCCAAGCTTGAGGTCCATGTAAGCTTATCTTGACACGTTTTGTTTTTCGGCACTGGTGGCGTTTTCAAAATTAGACCAAGCATTGGCTTTTCTGAGAATCCGTAGGGAATTAAGTTATTCCTAGAAAGCTATATTTTCCATGTTCCCTATAGAAATGCCATGTCTAGAGACTTCTGACTTCATATTTGAGTTTCCTGCTTAGCTTGGCATAGGAATCACTGTCCTTAATCGGTTTTGTTTTTTGATCAATTTTGTTGTGAAGGTATTATTTAATTGTGAAGGTACTGTTCTGATGAATCAGTTTTTTATTTAATTAGCCGTTCCTTGAGGTTCCTATGCATTCTAAGGCCCATTGAGAGTGAATTGTTGTCATGTGCAATTGAAAAAACTTTATGAACATCCAAACAATGATATAAAAACCCAAGTTGTCTTTGTGCTTCCTAAAGGGATTTTGAATCTCTTTGTTTTAGAATAATCATTTTCTTGTTCAATCCCAAACTGCTTGATGATTCTCTTTATCTTTTCACCCTAGTTCATGGAGTCTCTCCCATGGGATCTAATGGGATGGTCATAAGATTTTGAAATTTTTGATACATATTTGACTGAAGTGCCATACGAATTTTATGGTACAGATTCCTTATATTTGCAAATTAACATTGTTCATTCCAATCCATGATGGCATAGCTGTCGTTAAGAGTGATGCGTGCAAAAAGTTTATCGAGGCTATTAATGGGCTGAAGTTTGTAGAAACCTGCTTTCAAGAGACTCAATTAGCGAGTTTATTTAAATAATTTAAGCTATGTCACTAAATACTTTCTGGTTATGCTATTTTTGCTTTATGAGAACTTTCATATTATGAAATGAAATTATTATAGAATGATGTTCCTTGTGATTTTTGAATGCAGGGCTGCTGGAGTTAGTGATAAGAAGAAATGAAGTGCCTCTTTTGTCTTGTGAAAGTGCAACCACCAATTTGTACTTACTGCGACTCCTGTGTTGTGAAAGTTCTTTGTGATTTTTGTTAGTGAGAGAATTTGAACCTATATCTCAGTTCTGACTGTTAGGTATTTAGACCTGCTCAATGATGGGTATCTTTTAATTTTTTGGAGAGTTTATTATGCTATCATGATTGTATTAGTTAACAGTATTCTCTGTAGGAATCGGGTATGTTTAGACTTGTTAACTCGGACTTGGTTTCTGAGTAACTGGGAAATCATTAGAAACTTTGAATGCTTATTGACAATACTACAGAGGTTAATGGAAAAATTTAAGTATGCACTGCAATGGAAATCACTGCTCGTTAGTCTCAGCTGCAATAATCTTGAATGAATATTTTAAAATTGAGTTGTAGGATGTATATACCTTCACAAAATATGCTGGAATCACTTGTCTTTTGAAGGATGCTGCACATACTTCAAAAGTAGAATTACAAGGTTATATGATATGGCACTCCTTGGTAGTAGTTGTCAATCAAGGTTTATAGAATTGAAATGTTAAGCCATGCTCGGGTTATATCACACAAGGGAAATAAAGGTGTAGCCACACAAAAAGCATTTATTTATTTATTGTTTAAATCATCTTTGGTTCAGTTTTGAATTTTTTCGAAAAATTAGATTTATTTTTATGGGATTGGATACAATGAGATCATTTATTTTTGATACAAGGAAGTTACAATTACTAACAACTATCAGATGTGAAATTTGTTAGTTTGGATGTCACAAAGTTCGAGAAAGTTTTTTTTGAAGTTTGAGTTTAATAAATAGAATAATTGTAGCTATCCAATTTTACATCCAATGGTCATGATTAATGTGACCACTTTGTATTAAAGGGAAATGGTATCATTCTATACTTTTCTTATTTTTATTTGAATCTTTAAAGCATCTTGGGTCCACTTTGTGAAAAAACTTTTAAAAGTGGATATCCTTGAAGCTTAGGTTTGATCGGTTTTCAACCTAACATTTTATTGTCGTCAAATCTTGCAAGGGAGTTTGATATCTTTGGTGGACCCTCTTCTTTTTATTTTTTATTTTTTATTTTTTAAAGAGAATCAACCCTTAACCTTGGATCAAGTTGTCCTTTAATTTGATGGTCATGGAGAATTTGCTTGTTTAGAGTATTATTATGAATTACACAAGATTTTTTAAATTGATTTTTAGGTATACTAAATATGAACAGGAAAAAGATTTGAGAGAAGAAAAATCCACTATGTTTTAAGATGGGGGAATATTCCATTTTAACTAGATGCAGCCGCTGAAGAGTCCAAAGGTATTTATTGTCAATTAAGGGGCTGTTTCGGTACTTAAAAGACCAATATGGTGGATTTTTGGGGAATCCTCGATATCCGGTTCAGGTAATGCAGTGAGCAAATCGGAGATGAAAATAGATTATCCATTTTTGCCCTAACATTATGACTAATCACCCATCATAAATATCCATTTGAAAACACTAGTTCTCTCCCTCTTTGTATTCATCAGTCTTTAATCTCTCTCTTGATGTGGTAATCAAACCCTTGTAGCAGGTGTTGCAGAAATGAAACCAACATCATCGTCGAAGTCTCCTCTCTACAATGTCCACCCCTCATTAACTCGTCTTGGGGTTGGCATCAATCGACCTCAAAAAACAATCCATTCTTCTCCATCCAAAACCTAGTTTTCTCTCAGGACGTCATCCATGCCTCTCTCTATCTATGTCCATTGTCAATTCCCACCAAACATAGCCCTCGCGTATTCATACATCCAATTTCTCGTGCATATGTGAACGCCGGTTGTGGATTCCTTTCAAAATGGAAAGGCATGGCACCCTAGAATGATTCTTTTCAAAATCGAAAGGCATGGCACCCTAGAATGGCTGAAAGAGGCTTGTTTTCTTCATAGGCATCTGATGATTATAACACCCCAAGAACCTGAATTGCTTCAATAGGGATCGTTTTGTTCTATGTTTCAACTAGGGCTGCTTGCTTTTATACATTTTGTTGGGTTTCAGTCGGTTCAGGTAAATGAATATGTTGTGAGTTGTTAAGCTTTTTATTAGATTCATGGAGAGTTTGGAGTATTTTCTTTTTCATTTTTCTTTTGGCAAATAGAGTAATATAAATTGCCGAAATCAATATTATAAATACGTCTCTAACTTGGTGAGAACTCTCTTATCTATACCTTTCTTTTTCATAAAAAGAAAAGAAAAGAAAAGAAAAGATAACGTAAAATACAATAAGAATAAAAAATATCCCGTTACAATGATTTGATAAAGTAGGAGAAACTACTGTAACAAGTTCTAGGATAATTATAAGTATGCGGTGAACTTCTCTTAGAACTTTCTACCATACAAGCGAAACAGTCATAATTTATCTTCCAGGCATTAGAAACTCTCCAATTACCACAAAGAACTCTTATCTTCGTTTATTAATCAAGAGTATATGAGACCCGTACAAATATATTGTTAATAACAGTTTTGGATAGATACCAACAGTTATGAAAATTACTAAGTTCTGGATAGATATCAATAGATACCAACACTTATGAATAATTACTAACTAATATTGAGATATCTGTTTCACCTAATCTTATCAAGAGATATATATATACCCATATACATACATCCGATTGATATGTATCCATAATGATGTATATAAATATTTACAAGGATATGTATCCATAATGATGAATATCAATATATCTGACTAATATGTATCCATAATGATGTATATAAATATTTACAAGGATATATATCCATAATGATGAATATCAATACTAACGAGATATTCGTAAGCTAACACCAGGTTGTATCCATATGCTATCCAAACAACAAAAACCTATTCTCTAATGATTTTTCGCCAATAATATACTTTACGTGAAATTGTTTTCTCCATGTATTATATTTGCAAGAACCCAAAGATTTCATTGTACCTTAAGGAGCCAAAACATCAGCTTCTTGATTTGCTTTTCTAAGCATATGATTTAACTTCTTCCCCGTGAAGAATATTAGACAAACCCTAGGGAATGTACCACTCACCTTTACAACATCTAATTGCATTCAAAGAGTCCAATAATATCACTTCGATGGGTAGTGTCCAAGACTTCAAGACCTTGTAAAACAGCTCTCATTTGAGCTTCATTAGCTATAATATTACCCCCCTCGAAAATGTATACAAGATAGATCCTCAATGTTCACTTATCGTTTCACAAAAAAAAAAAAGGATAGATCCTCAATGATTGTGGATATGCCCTCTTAACTCCCCGTCACAATTAGATTTCTCAATGAACTTCCATCAAATTTCAATTACAATACAACTTTGGGATGTGGCTGCTATATTTGCAATCTTTGATTCTTCTTGGCATTCAGTGTTCCAATTTCATTTAGCCTCTAAATAAGTTCAGCCCCGGTAACACCGAACATTCTTTAGTTATGGATGGCCAATTAGCCACTTGCTCTCTAATTTTAGCAATGAACACGTCCACCTCAAGACATCAAAGTTATTCTATTTCTCTCCTTCCACACCTCCCACAACAAAGCTAAGCTACACGCATTATCTTCTACAACATTCTTCTTACTATTGGAAATAGATGAAGGTTTAGAGCATCGAACACCTGGTTAGTTAAGGTTAGTTGAACATCCATAGATTGCATTGCCCATTCCCAAATACTTTGTGTATTCACAAATGTAAGTAGGTGGCTAGCATTTTCTTCATCTTTCTTACACAAAAGATAAAAATTTGTTATTATATTGTCTTTTCTCCTCAATACATCTAAGCTTATCTAACAGTAAAATCTATAAGAAAACTTGGACTTTGTGTGGCACGGGACGTTTTTATGCCTTTGCAAACTTTAGTTCCCACGGTCTCAAGGGAAAGGTTTTTATACTTTCCCTACAACATCGAAGATCTATGCTTCCCCTACCATCTAGTTGTCCAATTTTGATAAAGTGAGTCACTCACCGTTTGATCTTAGATCCGACGACGCCTCAGAATATTTTATTTTAAATTTTTTTTTATTCAAATTGTATGAATATGAAATTTAGTTAGTGCCATATTCTCATTGGGTGCACCTACAAAAAATATTAAAAATAATGTTTTGATAAAATATAATGACCAAAATACCCCTTGAATCTTTCAGGGGTATTTTGGTCATTTTATTTTATTGAGAATATATTTTTTTATATTGTTTACTAGTGCTAGTTTAAAGGAGGATTGGACACCCAAACTTTGGTAGCAAAATAGCTTTTATTAAAAAATGAAAATAAAATAGTGTAGAGACGTGACATTGTGATTGGGGCAACCTTAGCCCTCCATTCAGAATGGATGGTTGGATAAGGAAAAGTATATAAATTTTATATTGTAGAGAAAGCATAGAAAGCTTGCCCCGGTCTCAATCTATCAAAAGCAACTCATAAATACATTTAACAAAATATTGCTGATAAGTCTCATTGCGAGGTAAGAATGGCTTGGGCCTTGGCGGTAGTATTGCCGAAGATGAGGTCTTTGACTTCATTCTCACCAAAAAGTTGGGGCCCAAATCCCTACTGACTTACCACTTTTAATTACCCAAACAAAAGTCTCATTGTGAGGTATGAAGCGATCTCACATTGAAACAAAACTACTTGTGGCTAACATTCCAAATGGCTTCATCTGAACCCCTTGCACTGAAACAGTATTGCTATAAAAACTAAGCATGATGCAATTGATTAACAACACTATCACATACTCCATTGTATTGGCAAGTTATGGATTATTTTGCACTATAACCCGAACCATCGATTGTAAAAATGACTCCGGAAACATGAGCTTTAAACGTTTGCCCCCAATCCATTTCAATATAATCTCCTCTCCCCACTTTCAGTCAATTCCTAATCGTAAGGCCTTGATTTTGGCTCCACAACCAACCATTTATGCTTGCGTAGAACTCGGAACCTGTAGTCATCATGCAATGCACTGAGGTAGTTTTTATTGGAATATATTTAGGAGAACAAGACTTAGCTGATCTCCTCTCTATATATTTATTAGTATCGGTCTAGCTAATCGCTCGCCGAATGCTTATTTTGGCTTGACACTCTTTTATGCTTGCTAAGAGCTTGGAACCTGCATTCATCCCACATTTGGGGTAGGCTGATGTTATAAAATATTGCTAATTTGTAGTGTAATAATAATTATAAAAGGGTAATGATGTCCACAATTTAAGTTAGTTGGTCATCCAATTTTAAGATAATGATCATTGATAAGTATCTCACTCACGGTCTTATAAAGATAACTACCGATGATGAAAGAAAAGAAAAGGATATAAGGTGTACTGGCTCATTCT